GGAACATAACCTTAAAAATCAAAGTTATATGTCAAAAACATATATAAAAAGGAACATAACCTGAAAAATTAAAGTCATGTATCAAAAACATATATAGGTTAAAGAAGAACATAACCTTAAAGTTGAAGGATAGATGTCGCAAAAATATAAGTTAAAACGAACATAATCTTAAAATTGAAGATCGTGAATATAGCCGCACACAAGTCTATATATGATCGTCACTGACAAATAACGTGGTATTTTCAATTTTGAGGTTATATTTGTTTTATGACCTTTAATTTTGAGGTTATGTTCCACAAACATAATCTCAAAATTGAAGGTTATAGGTCAAGGGACCAGTGGGTTTGAGGTTATGTTCGACAAACATAACCTCAAAAATTCAAAAGTCGGTAAAAAAAAATTTAATTTCAAAAATTGCAACAAAAAAAAAGCCGAAAAATTTTAGAAAAAATCGTTTTTTTCATAACACAATATTAAACTTCAAAATTCTTAAAAAAGAAAATAGCTTTTTAAATTCAAAAAAAAAGTACGAAATAATTTTTGAAATAAAATTTTAATCTATAACATCGAATCCTTTTTCAAAAGTGTAGAAAAAGATAAAAAAAAAAAAAAGAAAATAAATAATTTTTTTGAACATAATCAAAAATCGTCAAAGTCAACAATATATTGTTTAAAATTGCATTCATCCTCCTCCTCCGCCCTAAATTTGTCGAAAAAAAATTTTTTTTTCCTTCTACCTTTAAAAATAAAAAAAAAAAAAAAGAAAAAAAAATTTAACGGGTTTCCCGTTTGAAAATAACGAATGGCAATTTCGCAAGGCTTGGTGTAAAATTGTTGGTAGTGTATGGGCGCAGCCTCTCCTCTCTTATATCTGTGTCAGGTCTGATGTGTATTGCAACATAGCAGAAGGTCGACCGGTATCCACCGTGTACAGAGAGTAACGTCGATTGATACAGACCCACTTCGCTTTGACATTCGCCTGCCTTTTTCAATCTTCTGGTATATCCATTTTGCTGCGAAAGTCACACTGCAAAAAAAGCACACAAAAAAAAAAAGAAAAAAGAAAACAAATTCAAAGGGTGAAAATGAAAATAAAAAGTAAACTAAAATTTTTGAGAGACACATGAGTGATAGCTGAAATTAATTTGTTCGCAATTTTTATTTTACTCGAATTATTTTTTGACGGAAATTTATTTTTAGATGAATTTATAATTGTTCGAACTATTTTTTGACTGAATTTTCGTTTTAGCCGAATTTTTGAGTCAGGATTTTTATTTGTTCGAATTTTTATTTGTCAAAATTTCTTATTTGTTCGAATTTTCATTTTTCCAAATTCCTATTTATTCGCATTTCCCTTTGTCAAAATTTCTATTTGTTCGAATTATTTTTTGCCCGAATTTTTGTTAGGATTTTTTTTTTGTTCGGATTTTCATTTGTCCGAATTCTTATTTATTCGAAATTATTTATGTCAAAATTTCTATTCGAATTATTTTTTGGCAAAATTTTCTTTTAGCCGAAATTTTATTTATTCGAATTATTTTTTGCCCGAATATATTCTTTAAGCCAAATTTTTGTAAGGTTTTTTTTTATTTATATTCAAATTTTGCATTTGTCAGAATTTCTTATTTGTTTGAATTTTCAATTGTCCGAATTTCCATTTGTTCGAATTATTTTTGCCCCGAATTTTCATTTTAGATGAATTTATATTATTGTTCGAACTATTTTTTGACTGAATTTTCTTTTTACCGAATTTTTTAGCAGGATTTTCATTTGTCCGAATTGTTATTTGTTCGAATTTCCATTTGTCAAAATTTCTTATTTGTTCAAATTTTATTTTTTGGCCAAATTTTCTTTTAGCCGAATTATTATTTGTTCGAATTATTTTTTATCCGAATTTTCTTTAGCCGAACTTATCAAACTTATCTCAGTGAAAGGAAAAATTATTATTTTTTTTTTTAAATAAACAATTACAATCTCAGTGAAAAGGAAGGAGAAAAATTTTTTTTTTACACTTTTAATTTTAAAAATTCGATTTCAAAAAAAAAAAAATTCCGCGGTTTATTTCAAATGAGCGAGACTGAGAGGAAACACAAGGGGGAAAGAAGGGTTTTTCTGTTTAATAATCAGTGGAATTTATCGACTGAATTCTTCACGGATTCAGTGAACCTTCCTGAAACAGATTTATCCGCGAGCCATCGCTAAATGTTATTTTAAGAATCTTTCATTAAGTATTTAATATAACCTGATTTTCCTGCCGCCACGAGAGATAGATAGAGAGAGAGAAAAAGAGATATTGAGCTTTTGCAGAAGCTATTTCATATATATATATATACTGATAAGGGAGATTAACTGAAAATTGTATCATGAGAACATCGATTTCTGTGAGAATAAATACTAAATTATACTTTCATTTTTTACTTTTTTTGAAAAAAAAAATTTTTTTTAATTAAAAAAAAAGACAAATTTTATGAATACGAAATTCTTTTTACTTTTTTTTTTTTGAAAAAATCGGTAACCAAAAATTTTTTTTTTAGTATAAATTGTAAAATAAAGTTTTTAAATACTAAATTTCCCAATTTTTCGTTTTATACTTTTTTTTGAAAAAAAAATTGTTAGTATAACTAAAAAAAAATTTCTTTGTAAACAATAAATATTGTACTTTCTGTTTTTATACTTTTCTTGAAAAAAATTTTTTTTTATACATTGTAAAAAAAGAGAAAAATTTGTAACATAGGAAACAGTAAGAATTTCTCTCCCGATTGGTCTTTTTCTCATTCACCTACGCACAAGCCGCCCTACTTCCGGCGGATGTTCCCTGATAAATGGGAATCTGACTGGCTTGCTTGGATAGTTAGCTATACACACCTACAGTGTGCACAACGGGTAAAAAGGTACACTCCCAACAGACAAATAACAAAAATAAGAAACAAAGTACAATTTCTATTTTGTTAAATTTAATATGCGACTGTTAGACATTTATGCACTTACCGTCTATTTTTTTTAGCATTTTGAAAAATACCGTTGATTCACGTTAGCATCGGATATTTTTTTTATATTTTTACTATTTTACTGTTAATTAGAATTTCCGCTTTTGGATTTTGCGAGAAAATGAAAAAAAAAAAATAATTACCGTCTATTCACTTACCGTATACTTTTTCTGATTTTGAAAATTACCGTCGATTCACTTAGCTGATATGTTTTTTTTTTATTTTTGACCATCTTACCGTTAATTATATTTACAGCTTTTTGATTTTGCGAGAAAATGAAGAAAAAATTACAAATACTTACCGTTCATTTACTTACCGTCTAATATTTTTCTCATTTTAAAAACTATTAGCGCTAGATATTTTTTTTTTATTTACTATTAAACTTACCGTTCATTCACTTTTTGAGTTTGAGAGAAATTGAAAAAAAAGAATTCACTGGAACTTATCGTCGATTCACTTACCGTCTATTTTTTCTCATTTTGAAAAATACCGTTGATTCACTTGGCGTCTGATATTTTTTGACAATCCTTGAGCTAAGCCTAAATCTCGTTACGTAATTTTTAAATAAATTGAAGAAAAATATAGAAACTTACCGTCCACTCACTTACCGTCTATTTTTTTTAATTTGGAAAAACAGTGTTGATTTACTTGGTACTTTTTTTAAATTATCATACCGCCATATATACATTCCGTTTTTCGATTTTTCAACAAAAAAAAAAAATTCCAAAAACTTACCGTCTATTCACTTACCGTCTCATTTTCATTATTGAAAAAATAGCGTTGATACAAATAATGCCTGATATTTTTTTTCTAGAATCCTATTGTTAAGCCTATATAGGCTGCTTTTTAACTTTACAGTTAATTTAAGAAAAATTTATAAAAAACTTACCGTTCACTCACTTACCGTCTATTTTTTTATAAATAAAAGAAATATTGATTCACTTAGCGTCTAATATTTTTAAATATACTTGAGAATATAACCATTTGTATTTCCTTTATTCTTTTCGTTTCTAATATTTCTATAAATAATTTTGTGTAATTTTACTAAAATTAAAAAAAAACTTACCTTTCATACACTTACCGTCGTATTGACAAAAAATAGTTGTGATTCACTTATCTTTGTTTTTCTTTATTTTTGAAAATGTTAATTACTTTGCTTATTGTTTTTTCAACAAATTTTGAAAAAAAAATTACCGTTCATTCACTTACCGTCTACTATTTCTCATAAAAACGACTAATATTTTTTTTTATTTTGGTTAATTTTTCTATTAATTATTTTACGGTTCAGTTTTTAAATTTAAATTTTTTTGTTTAATTTCGACTAATAGCAAAAAATTTTTAAAAAAACTTACCGTCCATTCACTTACCGTCATATTTTTTCTAATTTACAAAAATAGTTTTGATTCAATTATTGAAATTTTTTTTTTATTTCTGAAAATTTTATCGGCAATTACTATATACGTTTTTCGATTTTGCAGCATATTGAAAAAAAAAACTTACCGTCTATTATTTCTCATAAAAACGATTAATATTTTTTTTATAATTTTTCTTTTAATAATTTTTTTATTAATTATTTTAAGCTTCGGTTTTAAAAATTCAATTTTGAAACTAATTTTAGCCAAAAATAAAAAAAACTTACCGTCCATTCACTTACCGTTGTACTTTTTTTTCTAATTTACAAAAAATTGTTGTGATTCAAGTATCGACATTTTTTTTTATTTTTGAAAATTTGATCCATAATTATTTAATATTTTTCCAACAAATTGAAAAGAAAACTTTTCGTTTATTATTGTTTTCTACATTTAAAAAAAATACCGTTGATTTCATTCAGCCACCAAGTATTACTATACCTATATATATTTTTACTTAATCAAAACAGTAAAATATAAAAATAGAAAAAAGAAAATAAAAATTTCAATAAAGAGATAATTTAAACTTTTTTTTATTTTGCGAATAAATTCTATAATTATATATACAATAAATTAATAATTTTTTTTTTCTTTTATGTTACAGGAAAATATTTCAACGCCTGAACCCGCTGATATATCAGAGGATGATCACTATTCAAGTGAGTATATTTCATTTCGCGCAAGTTAATTAATACTTTGAAAACAATTTTGAGATATTTTATTATATATAATAATATAGCGTTTTACGTCATTTGATGTTGATCATCATCATGATGATGATGATGATGATAATTGGACGGGTAATTAATATAAAATGAATTAATTGACACCCGTAGAAATCCAGGTGGTATATGTATATTAATAAATATAAATATTTGATAATAATTAATTGGAAGTTTTGAAAGAAAATATAATGGGTTTCAATTAATTATGAAAATTATTAATTAAATAATTTATTTAGTAACTAATTAATTAATATAATCATTCTATTATAAGTAGACTGTCATTAATTTTTAATTCCTGCTTTGATTCATCGATTTATTCTGCATCTCTCTTTATTTCTCTCTCTCTATCTTTTTCTGTCTCTTTCTTTCTTTTTCCGTCTCTTTTTTTTCTCTTTTCTGCCTTTCTTTCTCTCTCTTTGTCGAAAGCCCTCATCACGGATTGGCGGATTTGCTTCTTCTTCGCGTTGAATTATCGATGGAATTAGCGATAGAAACCAAGTCGCGAATCGTTACTTTTATATATATATATATATATATACGAGGCCGTAGACGCGTTACGACATCGACGCGCCACTTTTCTGACCTCAGTCCACTCGACAACTATAACGGACGTATAGAGCCACTCCGCTTCACGTTCGAGATACTCTCGTCTCTCCTTCGATTGCACGACACTGACATAAAGCAGTCACACTTGACACATGCACGTACACTCGTTGTAAACTGCGAGAAACATGACCGTTCAATATATATATATATACATATAATCCATAACGTCTTTCCCAATATGATTCTATATAATTTAAAGCGATTGTTTCGAAATTTCTTTTTTTTCACGAAAAAAAATACAGAAAATAAGAGAAAAAACAAGTGAAATGTGGATCTGATGGGGTGCTGTCTAGTTTTCCCTATTTGTACTGTGGAAACTTACTGGCGTCCGATAAGATTGCACCAAAGCCTTAACTAGGCAAAAACTAGGCAGAGCCCTGTTACATTTAATTGCCTATGGAGATATTTAACTGTGGTCCTGTTGTGGCATTGTCAAGTTTTCCCTATTAACACTGAGGCCCCTGGGTGAAAAAACTAACTAGCGCCCGACGAGGATATTTTTGTAACAAAGTCTTACCTAGGCAAAAACTAGACAGAACCCTGTTACAGTTAAGTGCCCGACGAGGGCATATTTCGTAACAAATGCTTATCTAGGGGAAAACTTTGCACTAAAGCCTTAACTAGGCAAAAACTAGGCAGAGCCCTGTTACATTTAATTGCCTATGGAGATATTTAACTGTGGTCCTGTTGTGGCATTGCATTGTCAAGTTTTCCCTATTAAAACTGAGGCCCCTGGGTGAAAAAACTAATTAGCGCCCGACGAGGATATTTTTGTAACAAAGTCTTACCTAGGCAAAAACTAGACAGAACCCTGTTACAGTTAAGTGCCCGACGAGGGCATATTTCGTAACAAATGCTTACCTAGGGGAAAACTTTGCCTTAACTAGGCAAAAACTAGGCAGAGCCCTGTTACATTTAAATTCCTGTAGAGTTTAAATGTGGTCCTACTGTGGCGCAATCAAGTTTTCCCTATTAAAACTTAGGCTCTGGTTGAAAAACTTGACTGGCACCCAACGAGGATATTTCGTAACAAAGCCTTACCTAGGTAAAGACTAGACAGAGCCCTGTATGCTTAACGAGGGCATATTTCGTAACGAAGCCTTACTGAGAGAAAAACTAGCCAGAGCCCTGTTAAATCCTGTGTAGACATTTAAATGTATGTCCTGATGTGGCGCTAACGAGTTTTCCCTATGTACACTAAGGCCCACATTAGAAAAACTGACTAGCACCTGAAAAACTTTGTTCTGAACCATAGTCTTAACTATAGGTAAAAAAAACTAATCAGAGCCCTGTTATATTTAAGGCCTTTGTAAAGTGGTTCTGATGTGGAACTGTCGATTTTTCCCTATCTAAAATTAGGCCCTCGTTAAAAAAAATACTAGCGCGATTATTTCGAAACAAAGTCTTACATGGGTAAAACTAGTCAAGGCCCTGTTACATTTAATCCTTCCGTTACCCTAATGAAGTACTGTCGAGTTGTTTCTAACTATACTGTGGTTCTTGTCAGCAAAACTGACTAGCGCCCTACCAATTCCATACCAATGGAAAAACTAGTCAGAGCCCTATCAGTTTATAATTAAAAAAAAAATTAAAATAAATTAAAGAATAAACTTCCTTGCCTTAATTGTTTAATAGGGCTTTAGCAAGGATCTCTCTAGTTTTTTTTCCAAATTTTGCAAACTAGGAAAACTGGCTAGTTACTAGTCAAAGCCCTAATTGGACAATTTCTGCAGCGAAACTGTTTTTTAAAACACCAATAAAAAAAACATAAACTTCAAAAAAATAAAGAAAAAAAATTTTGTTACGTTTTCAAAAAAAAAATTAATTTCTTTTTTTTTATTAAATTAGACGATAAGTGAAAGAATTATTTTGTATATATTTTTGTCAAAAACAGAGCCGGTAAGTGAGTAAAAAAATTTTTTTAACGCCAAACTCATTATTTAACGAAGCTAATAATAATAATCATAATAATAATAATAATAATATTATAAATAGTAGTAATAATAATAGTAATAACAGTAACAATAAAATGATAATAAAATCATACAAATTGGAAATGTTTTTTGAGTTATGTGAGAAAATTAAGAAAAAATTACTAAAAATAAATTTTAAAGTAGAATTACAATAATAAATATAAATCGATAGTGTTTTTTGAGAGCAAAAAAAAAAATACAGAAAAAAAAACAATTTTTAAAGTAGAATTTTTCATTATGCACAAATTGGAAATAATTTATGAGGAAAAAAAAATAAAAAAATTTTACATTACAATTTTATATATACAAATTAAAAATTTTGTTGAATAGGGAAAAAATAAAAAAAAAATTTCTCCTCTGTATATTAAACGCTCATTTCACGCTCATTAATTGTTCCTCATTTTCTGTATACAAAAAACAAAAAAAAAAAAAAACAGTTCCATATTTAAATGTGTGACAATAAAAATATATCGAGACTTTTAATCAAGTTCGTTGTCCCGTGGCCAAATGAGTTGCGCGGATTAATTTATGGCAATTATAACACGCGCAAACCATCGCACACACACACTAACATACTAACACACACCGGCTTGAAATTCACGTTGACGCGTTCGAATGATTTCACTAATTTGGTTTTGAGATCCGTTTGCATTTATGATATCTCTCTCGTATATATTATATATTATATATATATTTGGAGAGTACAACTGTTGTAACAATATCGAAATTTCACCCAACCCCCCTCTCCCCCTTACCCCTTTACCATTCTCTCAACGTATAACGTGAATTACGCTGCGTTATGATAAATCGAATTTCTCTGTAAATTTATATATATATTAGTTATTTTCTTATGGAAATTATGTATTATATGTAAAATTCAATGAGCTTGCCTGCATCAAAATTCTTTTGTTATTTTTTGGGATTTTTTTGTTAAAAAAAAAAAAAAATTTTGATTTATTTAAATTAAGGTTTTTGTTTTAATAATAATAATAAAAAAAAATAGGAGTTCTTATTCATGCGGATTAAATTAACTTGAAATAAAAAATTTTTTTTATTTGATTTTCAATTTTAATATTTATTTTAATTTAATCAAATTCAATTTTTATTTGAATATTTTTTTGTACCTTTTTTCAAAATTATTTTTCAAAATTGTGATAATTTTTTTAATTCTTAAATTCGATCTCTATTTTTCAATTGTTTATAAATTTTTATCATCATTCTGAAAGTAGTTTTATTTAATTAATAATTAATAATTGTTAATCAATTAATTAATAAATAATTGTTAATTAATTTATGATTAATTTTTAAGCAATTAATTGTTAATTAATTCATGATTAATTGTTAATTAATTAATTTGTTGATTAATTAGTTAATAATAAATTAACAATTAATTAGTTAATAATAAATTAACAATTAATTAGTTAATAATTAATTAATAATAAATTTTAAATTGTTAATTAATTAGTTAATAAGTTATTAATTAATTAATTAAAAATTAATAATTGTTTATTAATTCTGAGATAATAGTTTATTATTTGTTTATTAATTTATAAATTTTCTATTATTTATTAATTATTTTATAATTTTGTTAATAAATAATTAATAATTAAATACTATAACTTTTGATTGTAAAAAATTAATTTAATAAAGAAAAATAATAATTTGTTTTTCCAACATCAAATAATAATTAATCGAATTTGAAAGTAGAAATAGTCATACCAAGTTTTTTCATAAAAATTTTTGAAGAATGACAAAGAACTTCTATTATATACATGAATTTTTATATTTATTTATTTTTTTTTGTAAAATTTTTTTTCTCTTCCTTTTTTTTCAATTGAAAACTTTAATTTGAAAATTGAAAATTTGAAATTGGAAAATTTTGAAATTTAAAAATTTGAAAATTTGAAATTTAAAAATTTGGAATTTAAAAATTTGAAAATTGACAATAATTAAAAAAAATCCAATTGGCATATTTTTTTTTTTTATTCCGGCAGGCGCGCTCATGAAAGACGCGGATAAGCTGAAGTTGATGCTGCTCGCGTGGAATTATAATCTTCATCAGCAGCAGGCTCAGGCACAGGCTCAGGCTGCCACCGCGGCCCTCTCGCCAAATAACTCCTCAACAACCACAGCCACCACCGTTGGTACACCTGTCACCAGTCAATCGGCCATTTCCACGGCAAACAACACCATTAACAACTCCACACTTACAGGTAACACCATTTTTCTCCGGTCTCATAGTAATAATAATAATAATATTAATAATAATAATAAAATTAAACTTTTCTATTTATGTACATATTGCACTTTTCATTTTTTATAAATTAATATATATATACATTCATAGATTTTAATTTTTAACTAACAATTAATTTTATTAGATAAATCATTTAGTTGAAGGTTCATTTTTGGTGTTGGATATTTTTTTTTTTATTTACATATAAGGTTGTGGTGTGTAAAAATTTTACCATAGCCCACTTTTTTTGTATTCTACTTATTCTGCATTTCATTTTCTGTCTCGTGATTCATTTTTCGCTTATCGTGTGACTTTTACTCACACTGAAAAACTTTTGGGGCAGCTGCTCTCCCAATCGAAAAATTTCTATATTCAGTTAACTTCATTCTCAATATTTATCATGAGTTTTTATATGAGTGAAGTTAACTGAATATAGAAATTTTTCGATTGGGAGAGCAGCTGCCCCAAAAGTTTTTCAGTGCAGGTATAATTTTTATTTTTTTTACCACATACTGTTGATTTTCCATTTAATTGAAAAAAAATTTTGTGTTTGAAAAAAAAATCGTTTGATTAGACAATTTTGGTTCTTGTAAACAAATTTTCATTGGCTAAAACAAAGTTGTAGAGTTGTCTCAACCAAACATTTGGTTAGGCCAACAAAATTATTTGATTAAACATTTTTAAATTCCAATAAAAATTTGGTTGTTATACGACAACCAAATAATTTAATTAGCTATCTCAACTCGTACCTTAAAGAGAACAATTAGTTTAAATCTCTCACAAAGATATGGGTAGTCCAGTGGTCAGAGCTTCTAACTCGCAGTTTAAAAACAGAGGTTCGATCCCAGGCGGAGATGAGATTTTTCAAAGTCCATAAATATATTTCAAATTGGATAAATATAAATTAAACGTTAAATTGATAATAAATAAATAATAAAGGATAAAATTAAAAAATATATGGTAGAATAACATATTTTTAATTTTACAAAAAAAAAACTTGGTTTGATCAACCAAACATTTTTGTTGACCTAATAAAAAAATTTAATTCAGCCAAAATTGATTGAAACAAAATAAAAAATTATTTTAATCTTTTTTTGATACAATTACTAATAAATTATTATTAATTTAATTATTTGAGATCAAATTTTTTCCCTCGACGTAATTGAAACATTTTTAAGATTTTCATTGGCTTCAATTACGGTGGGCAAAGTAATAGTAAATTACGGTATTAGTTTCAATTTCTCATATTTGTTTAAATAATCGCCCAGATAGCACGGAAATTTGCAGCAAGCTTGCGGCAAATTCACCGTGTAAGCTTACTGCAAGCTTGTCTGAGCTAGCAAAATGTTCCACCCAGGGCAAGCTTACCGTGAAAGCTTGCTGTAAGCTTTCCAGGAAAGGTTGCTGCAATCTTGCAATGAAAGATTGCTGTAAGCTTGCTACGTAAGGTTGCTGGAGAATTTTAACAAGCTTCTGGAAAGGTTTCTGCAAGGTTGCTGTAAGCTTGCTACGTAAGGTTGCTGGAGAATTTTAACAAGCTTCTGGAACCCTAACCGAGAACCTACTCGACCAACTATCAGAGAATAAAAAAATCTTTCTCTTAACCCTCGACTGTTTTTATGAGTTGAAAAACAGTTGAAAAACGAGGGTTAAGAGTAAGATTTTTTTATTCTCTGATAGTTGGTCGAGTAGGTTCTCGGTTAGGGTCTTTGGTTAGTGTCTGTCGAACCCGGGTTCAATTCCCAGTCCCCTCAAATTTGGTTCGAAAATTTTCTCGTTAAGTTTCCAAATGAAAATAAACAGGACATAATTAATAATAATAAACGTCACAAGGATTTTCAAATTTAGAAAACAAATAAATTTTTTTTTAATTTAAAATGTATTTTTTAAAAATTGCAGCAACCTTTCCACAAGCTTGTTAAAATTCTCCAGCAACCTTACGTAGCAAGCTTACAGCAATCTTTCATGGCAAGATTGCAGCAACCTTTCCTGAAAAGCTTACAGCAAGCTTTCACGGCAAGCTTGCCCTGGGTGGGACATTTCGCTAGCTCAGACAAGCTTGCAGTAAGCTTGCGCGGCAAGCTTGACAAGCTTGCACGGTGAACTTGCCGCAAGCTTGCTGCAAGTTTCCATACTATCTGGGCGATTTTTATAAAGTTTCAAATTTTTTTTAAATATTTAAATAACATAACCTTTTAGTTTAATAAGTCTTAAATTTAGTTTATACAATAGAAATGTCGAATTTTCTATTTGAAAGGTGTTTTGACTCGAATCGCGCCGTAATTAGTGCATTTACCCTATAGTAAACAGACATTTTTTTGATTACCAAAATGAATTTAAAATATAACAGAAAACATATAGAAGAGTTGAAAAAAAGCGAAAACAAATTGTTTTATTAAGATTAAAACGCAAAATAAAAAAAGGTGAGCAATTTTGTATTTAAAAAAATAGGAAAAAGAAAAAAATTTCAAAAATTTTATAATGACGAATCCAATATGACAGAAGGTAAAATATTCTTCAAATTCGCATAACACTAATCAATTCTTATTATTTTTTTTTTTTTATTTTTTTTTATTTCCATTTATTTATTTTTTTGTTTTTCTCAGTATAAACGAAATTAGTTTTCTTTTTCTTTGTTTCGACATTGCGAAATAATTTACGAGCTTCGTGATAGAGCTGATAGACGAATCGAGTAATTTTTCATCGTTTAACTTTGCGGAACAAATTTGTTTACCTCCTCCTCCTCCCCCCCCTCTCTCTCTCTCACACTCTTTCTCTCTCCTTTCATTCGTTCGATGCTCTCATCCAGGCTAACTAACGCGTTTTTAACTTTGTTTTTTCTTCCTTTTGATACCGCGGCTCACCCCCTTTTGTTTACATTACTGATCCCAAACACTTGAATACATTACGAAAGAGGGGACAAAATCAACCTCTGTGGTAGTTTTTTTTTTTTTTGTATTTCAAACAAAATTAAAAATTTGCTTCTAAAAATTTGTTAAAACACAAAGTGGATAAATTTTTTTTTTTTTTTACTTGAAAATTTTACGCGGATTTGAAAAAGAAGAAGAATTTATTGTTAAGGTATATTGTTAACGATTTGTGTCATTCAATTAATGTCCAATTTTGGCCTAATTACGCTCAATTACTGTCTAATTTTTTTTAACCAGTTTTGTTTTTAGAGATTTTGATGTTTGTCTATCCGTCCGTCAGTGCTATGTCACATATATGAGAATTGAGACAAGAAATAAACGAAAATGTTGAGACTATTGAGATCGATGAGACTTAAGACTGCGTTGGGATTTGAGAACGTTCAGATTTCTGACTGTTGAAACCGTTGAGACTGATGAGACTTGAGAATGTTGAAACTATTGAGACTTGAGAACGATAATACTTGAGACTTCAGACCGATGAGACTTAAAACTGTTGAGACTTGAAATCGATACCATTTGAAAGCGTTGAGACTTAAAACTAATGAGACTATTGGGATCGATGAGACTTGAAACCGTTCATCGATAAGACTTGATATTTCAAGTTGATGAGACTTGAAACCGTTGATCGATGAGACGTGAGACTGTTGAGATTTGAAACTATTGAGACTTGAGATTGATAAGACTTCAAAATAATGTGATTTAAATGCGTTGAGAATTAAAACTGATTTATAACTGGTTTATAACTGGTTTATAACTGTTGAGACTTGAGACCGATGTGATTTGAACACGTTGAGACTGTTGAGATTGATGAGACTTGAGACCGTTGAGACTTGAAACCGATGTGATTTGAAAGCGCTGAGATGACTAGGTTTAAAACTGTTGAGATTGAGACTAATGTGATTTAAAAGCGTCGAGACTTAAGACTAGTGAGACTTGAAACCATTGAGACTAAAGACTGATGAGACTTGAAACCGTTGAGACTTGAAACCGATGTGATTTGAAAGCGCTGAGATGACTAGGTTTAAAACTGTTGAGATTGAGACTAATGTGATTTAAAAGCGTCGAGACTTAAGACTGGTGAGACTTGAAACCATTGAGACTATTTAGATCGATGAGACTAAAGACTGATGAGACTTGAAACCGTTGAGACTATTAAAATCGATGAGACTTGAGACTGATGAGACTTAAGGCTAATGAGATTTGAAACCCCTGAAATTGTTGAGATTATTGAGATCGATGAGACACTTGAGATTGATGAGATTTTAAACCGTTGAGACTGTTGAGATTATTAAGATCGATGGAACATGAGAATGTTGAGAGTTGAGAGATCAATGAGATTCGAAATCCTTGAAACAAGTGAATGTTCAGACGGTTGAGACTTAAGACCGTTGAGACTTTTGATATAAGACTTGAAACTGTTGAGACTTGAGACCGATGTGATTTGAAACCTTCGCAACTTGAAACTGCGTTAAGATTATTATGATCGATGAGACTTGAGAACGATGAAATTTGACTGTTGAGACTTGAGATTGTTGTATCTTTGAGAACTATGACTATATGTTGACATATACTTAAAAAGACTAAAGCTTTTAGTGAAATGAAATATAAGTGCAAAAATCCAGGTGGAATCACTTTTTGTTTATTCGAAAGAAAGGACAATTTTAAATCTCGTGAATTGATTCAATGTCGTGTATATATAATATACGCGGAAGATCTTTGAAAGCTGATAAAAATTCCGATTTGTTATTTATGCAGCTCTAAAATATACGATGCTTGTACCGCGGTTCAGTTAGATTATATTAAAAGGCGATGAGGTTGCGGAAGAAGAATCATTCACTTTTTTTTCTCCCCTTTTTGATCTACCCATCAGCTTCCCCTTACGCATTATATATACATGTTGAAACAGGTTTTGTGAACTTCTTTTATCTTTGACTTGATCATTGCGTAATGAACCAGCCATCATCAGAGAAACGAGAGACATACGCATTCGATAGAGTCTCTCTTTCTTTTTTTTCTCTCTTTCACCTTTTTTTTTACTATAAGCTCC